AGAATTATTGCTCTAATCTTGTAACAATAAAAAAACGGTAAAGTTTGAAAACTAGATAATACTTTATTACCAGCAGTCTACAATTTAAAGGATTAGTGTGTGGACATAATGGAAGAAAAATTCAATTATGGTTCATTCTATGTTCACTCAAGCAAGCGTATTGTTTTCCGATTGTTCTTGCTGACAAGATTACTTGTGACGAATCGGGGAGTTTAAAATGGACGGCAATAAATGGTCGGGGAATTTTTCTGTACGAATTTTTTTTGAACAGCAATAATTAAAAGCTGAGTTGTTTTGTCCTTATGGAGTTTTAAAAAGAAAGATACTTCCTAATTTTGCTTATAATCTAGGATTGGGTAACCTTTTTGGGAAGTGTGTCAATTTCAGAAGAAAATAAACATGTGTATCACTTCCAACTTTCCCAACATGATAAAAATATGAGAAGTGGAAAAAATTATGAAAAATAGAAAAAGGTGAAAAAAGAAAATTATGAAAGCATATGGAGATTAAAATTTAAAAAAAAAATTTATGCCTATTTTTAGAAAAAAAAGAGATAGGATCTTCATCTGTTGTATTTCGTGGATTACTAAGTTTTGAAAAATCAATAAAGTGGAAAATCGATTCTTCCCCGAGAATTATTACACAGTGAAGATAAGGTGTGCCATGGGAAAACAGTTCCTGCTCTCACATTTCCGTCGTTTTTCTTTCTCAGTCAAAATTAGCTTCTATAGACGTAAAATGACCCCACTTGATTTTAATAGATTTTTTTCTGTAAGTCTGGAAATTGAGATTTAAAAAATAATATAAGAAAGTACAAACTTAGTCTTTATTGTTAACATATGAAGTTTAGTAAGTTATGGTACGAAGTTTAGTATATTGCTGGAAAGTATTTCATTTTAAAGAACTATCGGATTGTCATTTGTAGGACTTTTAAATTCGCATTATGATTAGTTCTTAAAGAAGCTAACGAAATTAGGTGTTTTGGATACATGATTCAGTAAATCTTGAGCGAAAGTTTTAGTTTATTATGTTCTTGAAAGAAAACATTTAATCACAATGGTTCAAATCTACAACAGTATTTGACAACCAAATCATGTAAATTTGGAAAATTATTTGTCGGTACAAATTTTCAAAATTCAAGACAGCTTCGAGTATGAAAGATTTTACAGGTTTTGACGAAGTTCTTTAGGTCGTAAATAGTATTTTTTTTATATTAGTCTATAAGTCTTTTACTGTCGTAGAGGCTCCGTTGACGACAATGACTCCGTTGACAAAAGGAGTAAACGTACTGCAGGTTAGTAATATATATTTTAAACGAATTTTTCATATATAATTGATAATACGTCTTCGCTAAATATAAATTGCAAATATTTGTCATTTAGTTTTCTTTGATTGTAATCGTCTATTGTGATGTAGGTTAAAAAAAGTTAAATAATTATTCTATTCGTATTAAGGAAGTAGTTACTAAATTAGTTACATTAATAACAATGGGGAACAAATTTGTAGCTGCATTTATACACGTACACGAGGGAATTTTAAATCTGAAATTAGTTTTTTTCCCAAAGTTAAATTTTTTCAAAATGGTATTTTAAGTTCAGTTTATTCTTTTGTCAGAATATACAAGTTTATAAAAAATATATAGGTTTATAAACATATATATGCACTTATCTGCTCCTTTGAAAATAACACTAACTAGAAAAAACATATGACCTAAACTTAACGCATCATAAACTAAAATGTACTATAGCCTTATTTCTACTACACCCTACGTATCAGAGAAGTAAGGATACTTGGAAGTCATTCTAGGGTAAGAAACTATTATTACTGGACTATTTTATTAAATTACATGAAAACTGCACCTTGTAGAGAGAATTCGATTAGCAGATTTAATATCAGCTATATCTAAGAATCTAAGATCTCTTTTTAAAAAAAATATGCAACAGAAATTTTTTCTCTCCAAGTGTTACTCTTTGTATCTCGACAACTACCGCTGAATACTGCAACAACCAATTTATCGGTTGATGTTCATTTAATCTGAGTTTTCACATCTAATAAGTAATTGTTACCTTAAAGCATTGTGACCTCTATTTTAAATGGAGGGTTTTTCTAGTTATGGTAAAAATAACTGTATATGTTTAATGATTTCAGCCACTTCAGCTTCATTAAAATAATTTAATTTTAGCTTTGAAGAAATGCATAAAAACTTGATATATAATGCCATGATATGTTAAGTATTAGCTGAATGGAAATAAAAAATCACATTTCTTGCTCTATCAGTGCTACAAACAGGGATTTTTTCTTCTTTTTTTTACTTACTAATTCATTTACAGGAATTTGAACTGTTTTGCTAAATGGCTCAAGAAGTAGAGAGTTCGCCTTTTCATAATTTCAGAATTGAGTCGGTTATAAAGAAAATAAAAAGATTTTAAAATTTGGTAAAAAAATATAACACTCGAAAACTACTTTGCCTTAAAGCGCATGTTAGGTAAATTGCGTATGTTAGGATGATGCTACATATTGTTTATTTCACTGGAATCAATTTGTTTATTATGTTTTTAAATTAATATTGAAAAGCAATTTTTATATATTTTATAATATTTGAACTAGAAACACTTATATAACTGAGAATGTAAATATACACCAGTAAATATCCATAGAAAAGCACTTTTAAATTATTCTATCCTATTTGAGCAAAAAATACTGTTAGCATCATTTTAAATGTAAATATTCCTTAAAAAGTGCTCTTTTTCTAAATATTTTATGAAATTTAAACTAAAAACTCTAATAATATTATTGTGAATTTAAATATAAATTGCTAAATATACATCAAAAAGCACTTTTTAAGTATTTAGTAATATTTAAACAAAAACACTGTTAATACTATTATGAATATAAGAATACAATGCTAGATATGTATTAGAATTCACAATTAAAATATTTTATAATATTTAAGCAAAAATACTGTTCATATTATTTTGAATGTAAATATACATTAAAACACTCGTTTTAAATATTTTATAATATTTACGCTATATTTTTCCTTAATTGTGAATGTAAATATATGTAAATAAAATTAAAAAGCTTTTTGTAAATGCTTTATAATGTTTAAACTAAAGTCATCGTTAATATTAGTGTGAATAAAAATATATATCTTTTAAAATAGATTGAAAAACTTTTTTACTATTTAGATATTACATTTAAACTGAAATCCCTTTTATTATTATTATGAATATAAATATATATTAAAAAATTCCTATCAAATATGTTATGAAATTGAAACTAAAACATTGTGAATATTATTGTAAATACCAATATTATTGCATTGTTAAATATGCGTTAAAAAGCACTTTTTGAATACTTTATAGTATTTAAACAAAGAACACTGTTATTAATATTATCACAAATATAAATATCTATAGTTAAATATATATTGTAAAATATACATTGAAAAGCACTTTTTAAATACTTTAGAATATTTAAACAAAAACAAGGTTAATATTATTAATGTAAATATGAATTAGAAAAGATATGTCAAAAAGAGCTTTTTTAAATATTTTGCAATATTTTAACTAAACACTCATTTAATATTGTGAATGTAAATATACATTGCTACATATATTTTTAAGAGCAGTTTTTAAGTATTTTATTATATTTGAATCAAAAACAATGTTAATATTGCTGTCAATGTATGTAAATATACACTGTTGAATCTTCATTAAAAAGCAATTTTTAAATATTTTATTATATTTAAATAAAAAAACAATGTTAATATTGCTGTCAATGTATGTAAATATACACTGTTAAATCTTCATTAAAAAGCAGTTTTTAAATATTTTATTATATTTAAATAAAAAACAATATTAATATTGCTGTCAATGTATGTAAATATACACTGTTAAATCTTCATTAAAAAGCAGTTTTTAAATATTTTATTATATTTAAATAAAAAAACAATGTTAATATTGCTGTCAATGTATGTAAATATACACTGTTAAATCTTCATTAAAAAGCACTTTTCAAATATTTATAATTAATTAAAAAAACTTAATATTATTGTGAATGTAAAATTTTACACAGTGAATTATATTAAATATATCTAATATATATATATATATATCTAATGATTTTTTAGTAAATCAGTATTGAGAGCAACATGATTGAAGAGTCCAGTGGTGCATAATCTTCTTTTATTAAGTTGCGATGGTGAAATAGCAGTTTAACCCCTCTCCAAAGCGGGAGAGGGGGGACACATATCCTGTCTAAGCTGACGGATTTTATTTAGCAAAACAAACAACAAAAAGCCACGCAAAATCTTGCGGTCTGCATTTTATAGGATGATTAAAAAGAGTAAAAAGTCCAGCCATATGGTTTTTTCTGTATTCTTACGCCTCATCAAATTTATTTATTACTCAAAGCAAATCGTTTAATCTTTCCTTATATGGAAGTGAAAGATCTTAAAATAACTTCTCTTTTGAAGTATTAATCTAATTNTATATATATATATATGCAATATTGGTTCCTCATTCCCAATAACCCCAAAAAGCGTGAACAGCTGGACGAGCCCATTTTACAAACAAACTAAAAATAAACACATTTACTTCCCATCGTCCCACGTCAAAATCTATAATGAATTTAAATTTGTACGCTCATCAACATCAAACTCACCATTCATTGAAGATAAAACCGAGAGGTCAAGGAGGTCGCAATCCAAAAAAAGGCTGACCTAACAGCATTTGAGAAGTCAGGTAAACAGCAATTGAAAGTTGACGGATATTTTTTTTTCTTTCCTGTTGAAGAATTTTTCACTTTCTCTTAATAACCGTGGAAGAATAGAGAGATAGGGATAAGAGAGAACAAGAGGATGGGTTCATCAGTGGATCTAAAATTGTGGACATGGTAGTGGGGGGAGGTCAATTCCAGTAAGGAAGTGGGTCATACCCTCTTTAGGGTACTGTGGTGACTTTTCTCCTCCCCCCCTCTCCGTGTTCATTTCTTGTGCTGAGTAATTTTGAGATGAATGGAATATATAAAGAGAAGTGAGAGTGAAATTTTCTGACAGTACACTTTCACTTCTTTCCAAAAGCATTTGATTGCTTTCATCGCTGAAAGGATTGCTTCGTTGAATTTTTTTGATTCATATATTTTTCAACCAAAGTAAGTTCTTTTTAAATATATTTGCAAATTAAAAATGTAAATAATTTCTTTTAATGCTTATAATAATTATTTTTGTATTGACCAAGAGATACTTTTAGTCCGTTAAATTCTTTAAAATCTTTGGAAAAAATAAATAAGAAATAAATGAGCAAAAATATTTTGAAATGTAGAAATTGAACGCAATTTTCATTCATCCAAAATCATCTGATTGCCTTCGTCGCTGAAAGGATTGGTTCGTTGAATTTTGCGATACTTGTACTTTTCAACCAAAGTAGGTTCTCTTTAGATATCGTTGTAAATTAAAACTGCGGAAAAAAATTTTTTTTTTCCACATTTGAAAAAAAAAATAGTTTGTATTAATCTAAAGTTACTCTTAGTTCGTTAAATTCTTGAAAAACTTTGGGGGGAAAAATAAGAAATAAATGAAAAAAAAAATATTTTGAAATCCAGAAATTGAAAGCGATTTTCATTCTTCCAAAAGGATCTAATTGCTTTCATCGCTGAAAGGATTGCTTCGTTGAATTTCGCGATACTTGTACTTTTCAGCCAAGGTAGGTTCTCTTTAGATATCGCTGTAAATTAAAACTGCAAAAAAAAAATTTTTTTCCATATTTGAAAAAAAAAAGTTTGTATTGATTTAAAGTTACTCTTAGTCCGTTAAATTCTTGAAACACTTTGGAAAAAATAAATAAGAAATAAATGCGAAAAAATATTCTTAAATCTGGAAATTAAAAGTAATTTTCATTCTTCCAAAAGGATCGAATTGCTTTCACCGCTGATAGAATTGCTTCATTGAATTTTTGAATTTCGTTGAAGAAAAAATAGATTCAAAATCTAGCTATTTTAGTATCGGTTACTTTCACTTCTCCCCAAAGCATCTGATTGCTTTCGTTGCTGAAAGGATTGCTTCGTTGAATTTTGTGATACTTATATTTTTCAACCAAAGTAGGTTCTCCTTAGGTATCGTTGTAAATTAAAACTACAAACATTTTTTTCATACTTGAAAAAATTTAGCTTGTATTGACCTAAAGTTACTCTAAGTCCGTTAAATTCTTGAAAAACTTTGGGGAAAAAAAAAAGAAAAAAATATTTTGAAATCTAGAAATTGAAAGCAATTGTCATTCTTCCATACGGATTTGATTGCTTTCATCGCTGATAGAATTGCTTCGTTGAATTTTTGAATTTCGTTGAAGAAAAAGTAGATTCAAAATCTAGCAATTTTAATATTGGTTACTTTCACTTCTTCCAAAAGCATCTGATTGCCTTCGTCGCTGAAAGGATTGCTTCGTTAAATTTTTTGATAGTTATATTTTTCAATCAGAGTTAGTTCTTCTTAGATATCTTTGTAAATTAAAACTGCAATTATTTTTTTTCATGCTTAAATTAATTTAGTTTGTACTGACTTTAAGTTACTCTTAGTCTGTTAAATTCTTGAAGAACTTTGGAAAAAATAAATAAGAAATAAATGCGAAAAAATATCTTGAAATCTGGAAATTGTAAGCAATTTTCATTCTTCCATAAGGATTTGATTACTTTCATTGCTAATAGAATTTATTCGTTGAATTTTTGTTGCATATACTTTTCAACCGAAGCAATTTCTTCTTAAAAATTTTGAATCAAAACTGCAAATCTATTTTTTATTTTATTTTTTGATTTTCATAAATTCAGTTTGTATATTATTTAGTCAAAGAAATTAATGAAAAAAATCTTAAATAATAAATATGTATCAAGTAAAAAAATAATATTCAAGTTAAGTAGTTTTAATAGCCGTTACATTCCCTTCTTCCAAAGGCATCTGTTTACTTTCATCTTTGAAGGCATGCGAAAAGGATCGTTTCGTTTAATTTTTCGTTCAATTCATTTTTTAATCAGAGTAAGATTGCAAATTAAAGCTAAAAATATTTTATTTTATTTCTGTTTCCATTTTTTTTTCTTTTTTTTTTCTTTTTTTTTGCTTTATCTTGTTTTTTACATTAGATTAGTATTGACCTAAAGTTTAACTAGCTCATGAAATTCTTGGAAAAAAAATTTGAAATTTAATAAATACTAAGAAAAATGGAATTATAATTATGAAGTTTAATTAACCGTTACTTTCACTTCTTTCAAAATCATATGATTGCTTTCATTTTTGAAAGCGTATTGAAAGTATCATTTCATTTAATTTTTCGGTGCTTTCATTTTTTCTTCTACACTATTGCAAATTGAAACTAAAAATATTTTACTTAATTTTTTTCCTATTTNATTGCTTTCGTCGCTGAAAGGATTGCTTCGTTGAATTTTGTGATACTTATATTTTTAAACCAAAGTAGGTTCTCTTTAGGTATCGTTGTAAATTAAAACTGCAAACATTTTTTTCATGCTTGAAAAAATTTAGCTTGTATTGACCTAAAATTGCTCTTAGTCCGTTAAATTCTTAAAAAACTTTGGGAAAAATAAATAAGAAATAAAGGAAAAAAATATTTTGAAATCTAGAAATTGAAAGTAATTTTCATTCTTCCAAAAGGATCCATTTGCTTTCATTTTTGAAAGCGTATTGAAAGGATCATTTCATTTAATTTTTTGTTGCTTTCATTTTTTCTTCGAGACTATTGCAAATTGAAACTAAAAAGAGTTTACTTAATATTTTTTTTTATTTCCTTGCTTTTCATTCATTTAGTTAATACCGGCCTGGAGTTGAAATTCTTAAATAATTTCAAAAATAAATAAATAATAAGAGAAAATGATATTATAAAATAAAAACGTTTTAATAATCACTTCTTTATAAAGCATTTGATTGCTTTCATCATCGAAAGCATTATGAAATGACCTCTGTAGTAAATTTTTCGTTTCATACTTTCCGAAATAAGTTTTTCATAATTTCTTCTAGACTAACGTAAATTTAAACTGTATTTATTTATAAATTTAGTTTGTATTGACATAGAGTTAAATTTGTAACCGTGGTATTCTCGAAAAAAAATTTGAAAAATAAATAAATAGGTAGTATGAAAAAGAAATTTCAATTTAGCAGTTTCAATTCACTTTCATTTCTTCTTAAAGCATCTGGTTGCTTTTCTCCAAAGTATGTTGAAAGGATAATTTATTAAAATTTTAATGAGTACATTTACAATAGGAGTACATTTTTTATGGCTTCTTTGAGATCTTTTCGAATTAGAGTTGTAAATATTTTTAATTTTCATAAATTTAGTATTAGCCTAATGGTTCGCATAGTCCTGGAAATCTTTTAAACATAAATTTGAAAAATTTTCAAATTAAAACATAAATTTCAAAAACTAGCAATTACGATAATAGTTACTTTTTTAATTTTTAAAATAATTAAACATTTTAAAAATTCTTGAGTTAATGGATGGTAAAATTTTTAAAAATTGTTTTTAATAAATCTATCAGTAGATTACTAATTTATTAATATAATTTAGTTATTAATAAATAATTTAATTTATAACTAGAATCAAGTTTAGCCTAGAGTTTCTGGTAATCCTTGCAATCCCTGAGAAAAAAATTTCAAATATTAACAATTGTGTTGCTAATTTAGTTTTAGCTATAATTTAATTTTTAAAAATTTATGTTCAAAGAATCTTTAATTTTATAATTTTAGTGGTTCATATGTTGAAAAAATTAATAACCCTGTATGTGCTTTTATTTCTCCACGAAACTAATTATAACGAAAAATTTTTGAATTGCAATTGTTTTTTCAATTAACCAATACCATTTTAAAAAGTCAATTGCAAACCTGCGAATTTGTATCCATTCCTGAGATGATACTTCTACTCTGTAAAAAATTCCAGATGCGTAAAAAGTACCATTCTCTGTACTTTTCTGTAAAAAGTAACTGTTCTTTATATGCATTATCTGTAAAATCTATTTTCCTATAAAATTCATTTAAATATTAAACTTAAATATTATACCGTAAATTCCTTAAAATATTATACCGTAATTTTTACAGAAATATTTAATTCGTGTAATTCAGTGATTTTATAGTAATTATTACAATAAACTACAGTATATGTGTTTTTTTTTTTTCCGTAACATGTTCTGGTAAAAAAGGATTTCACGGTGAAAGATACCCACATCTGAGGGTCGGTACTTCTCCCCATAATTTGTTACAGATTTTTTTACAGTGAAAGTGGTAATAAATTAACAGTTGGGAATATTTTATGTTTCGCCTGGGCTTAAACACACCATATTACAATTATCATGGGTTTCTATGCTTGTTTAAATTATGTAGGGGTGATCAAAATCATGTTAAATTTAGTTTATAAACCGAAGAATGTAAAAAACAGTATTAGTTTGATATCATTTTAAATATAAAAATAAAATCTTACGTAGGGTACGAGTATCCCAAGGGTACGAGAACAGTTTGGTGGGGGTTAAACGTTCGTATGCGAAATATTTTGCAAAAATCGAAAATTTCAAAAAAAATTTTTTAAAAACAACGCTAGCCATGAAAATCTACGATTACGTATTTTTCGATTGGCTACTTTTCGCAGTTGATAATTGGTTCACAAAATGGTTCACAGTTAATAATTAGTGGTGTCAGCTAGTTGTGATTTTTAACTTTTGTACAATTTTTTTATAGTAAAAAATACATTCATTTTTTTATTAGTGGTACACAGCGTGACAAAAAATTTTGAAAGGGTACGCAAAAGTCATAAATCTGAGAAACACTGCCTTAAAGGATGGCATAAAAACCATTTATACGGTTAAATTTACTTTTCAATTTCGCATTTTTAATTAAATTTTTATTTTTTGTTAAGATAATAAGAACTGCAATTTTGAAAACCAGAATTTCCAGTAGACCGTTACCGTATGAACGAAAAAATTCCTAAGCGAATGGTTTAAATACCATATATTTTGCTTTCATTAACTCGAATTATGTATATAGTTTTTTTTCAAACCAGAAATGTCATTACCATACAGTAATGTTTTTCTACCAGGATTTTTTCTCTGTACTTAGTAATTAAACAGGATTTTTCTCTGTGTAAAAATGTTAAGTGTAGTGGCGA